AGCCAATGTGCCACGTGTGGCGCCACCAAGCCGCAATTATTTACCACCACTTATGGGTACCGGATATAGTACAACACAACGCAACGATGCATCCAAGGCTTACGTATTCAACAATGGTCTGTCCTATGAAACTGGTATTGGTGGTCCACATCTATTCCCACTACATTCGGAGGGTTTGAAGAATTATGTTACCATACGCAATTCTGAGTGGTGGACGCATCATTGAGCTGTGGTTGCTTCAAGTCATCGTGTTTTCTCTTGTCATCTGCCCGTTCCAGCCACGGATCCTTCTACTCTTATAAATTAGTTCATTTAGTGCAATTTGTGTGTCTTTGTTGTATCTCCGTGCACCTAAGTAACCTGAGGCAAGGCTACACTTTCGCAATAAAGTCTAGTAATTGCTTTTTATTTCATTTGACACAGCTATAATACTGTAATAAATACTCATTTTTATTATTTTCACATCCATGCAAGTGTATATAGTTTACACATTTATTATGGTAATTTTTAGCGGTAAAGAGTCATTGCTCTAACTATTAGGATGATCGTTTTGCAAAATGGTTTCCAAATAAAACTTGTTAAAAAGAGGGAACTGGTTTTAATTGAAAGAATGTGGCAAAATAACGGGAGTTTCAATAAAAAATTCGTAGATGTAAACCAGATCCTATCGGATCTAGCGAATCTGTCTTCACTTTGAAACGGCTGTTCGAGAAGGAGCGGGACGCAAAGGAGCAGAGCTCCGAACAGGCGCTTTTGGATATGAGCCTGCTGAATGAAATTTTTTTAGATTAACCTCCAGCAAGCATCCTCAATTTAGTGCTACGTCTGAAACGAGACGGAGTCGAATTCGCTCTAATCTTGCTGAAAAGCTATAATCTGTCAGCGGGCAGCGGCCCAGGCCGCACGTTTTTTTTCTCTAGTCTAATTTCAGCGAAGGTGACATCATTGCCGCTAAAGTAAACGGTAAAGAAGTAGGTTTCTGGCTGATCTCGGCATATATCCCGCACGAGGTTGAGGTGGAATAACCTCGCATAGTGGGACCGATATTATAATTGGTTCTGACGCATATAAAATTATTCTGACGGAATATAAAATTACTTCACCAAGCGGTCGAGGGAAAAGCGTTCGAATGATTCTTCTTACAACGGCAGCCCACTCATTTAAAAGAGAGCTTCATCGCTGAATAAAACTTCCTTGGAATTGGATTTTTTAAGCTCGCAAGCCAAGATCCTTCGGGAAAACCTTCCATTAAATTGATGAATGTAGTTCCAGTTGTTGCATGTGAAGGCGAATGAACCTATTCGGGTATTCTTCGGTATTCTAATTCACAGCAGCAATAACGTCTTCGGTGCCCACTGTATAGCGGCTCTGAGTTTGCGTATCATCCACTAAAGTAAACGTGATCCATGGTAGGTCGAACAGAACCATTATTTTGACAATAAAATTGTACGATTTGCAAACGTTAAGTCTTCATTAGGAAATGGCAACCGAAACCGAGTATAGTATAAATTAAGTAACATCTGTCCAAAAATAAAAAAGTCCCAAAAAAAGAGTATTGCATGATTGAAAACCAGGCGTCTAACAAACAAAAAAAAAAGTTTTTTTTTCTATTTTATGTTTTTAATTTCCTCATTAGGTCATCTTTTATAAATTGATAAGTATGCAGTTCTTGAGCTCAGGGGCAGGTGAGGAACTTGGACATTGGGGAGTACTGATAGAAGATTTCTCCATCTGAAAGTCAATTCTGCCTTGACCAACATTTGCGCGGTCATCATCCGTAACGATTCTGCAGTCTTACATGTTGGTCGAACTCGACGATTACTACTTACTATTTTATCGATATTTTTCACAATTAGTTCCCAAATAGTGGTGCATTTTTTACATCAAAGTTAACCAAACGCATCGCCGTAGAGGAAAAACTGGCCCCGGTGATGACTGCAGTGAATTTTTGGAGAAAACATCTGTTATACATGGTTGCAGATTACCGGTCTATTCGGAGTTTGGAGGAGTTATGCCCGCTTTCCCTTTCCTCTCTCCTTCACTACCGAATTGGAATAATCCACTTTGCGAATAGTGGAGCATATTATTAAAACCGAACAAAGCCTCAAAATTAACTCAAACGAAATACAAAAGGAGTAAAATATTGAAATAATTTAATGTATGTACGTATGTATTGGGTCGTTCACCAAGTAATTTCATTTGATTACAACAGCCGTTCTTACTGACTTTTGTCGCAGCCAACTTCACACTTAACCGCTTTATTGCTATAGTTATATCTGAACAGCTGATGTTAGTAAGGCGTTTTTGAAAAATTTTCTCAACTTTGTTTTAATAGTTTTTGCTTGGTGCCTTATTGAAGATGGAAGATTGTTAACAATATTTTCATCCTATTTTACCTTTTTATTATCAAATGTGGAAAAAATTATATGATGTGTACGGAGAAAATCTATTGAGCGAACGCCAATGCCAAAATTGGCTTTCAAAATTTCGATCTTAAAGATGCACTCCGACTTGGAAGACATCTTGAACACACACCTAACATATGCCAAGTATGGTGGCATATTGGGATTATAACTGTCATTGGCCGAAAGAAGGCAAAAGGTGGATCAAATGGAGAAGCATCTTAAAGTTGCACTAGAAACGAAATTACTTAGTGAACGACCCAATATTTAGATTTAACGACGTGTCCAAATAAAACATTATCGGAAGTGGACCATATGTGAAGATGGAAACAACACCAAGCGGCTTCATATCACAAAACATCTGCAAGAACCAGTCTACAACTGAAAATGCAATAATTTATGATATTTTATTTTAAAAGCTCCCATTATATTTAATTTATAAAATCAATTAACTAAAGCAGAAATTAAAATTTCTAAGCAATATGCAAAGTAATGTCTTACATCAACACCTAACCGAACATGACTTAACTGACACTAAAATTTATTAATAATATTAATATGCACAAGCTGTCAAATAAATTAAACATATAACTTATGAATTGCKGTTAGCCCGCAAATTGCCTGCTATTAAGTTATGATATACAAGTATTATATTGAAAATCAATAACGCAGCCCTGGCCGCGCCGCGTCAGGGGATTACACGGTGTGTGCGCTTGAGCACGCGTTTGTGTAATTTATTTAATTTAAAGAAACCGGTAGTTGCAACAAATATGTTAAACCAACGCTCGACAACTTGTCAACAAATATATTCGCGAAAGATATTTTTTGTGCGAAAAAAATAGCTTTAAATTATTCAATTGAATATAAAATATTTAAACACCACTGCGTTTTCTGCTCAAGCTCAGATTGAGGTGTGTCTTTTTATGATGAACATACATATACACAACGCCAGTTGCAGCAATTAACGGCTGATTAAATTAAAATCCGTTGACAGACTCATTTATTTATATAATTTAGAAAAATTGCGGCTTCCCCAAGACTTTTTTTATACCCTGAACAGGGTATATTAAATATGTCACGAAGTTTGTAACACCCAAAAGGAAGCGTCGGAGACCCTATAAAGTATATACATAAATATAAATGATCAGTATGTTTAGCTGCGTCGATTTAGCCATGTCCGTCTGTCCGTCCGTCCCTCTGTAAATACACGAACTAGTCCTCAGTTTTTAAGATATCGTTTTGAAATCTTGCAAACATCGTTTTCTCTTTAAGAAGCTGCTCCTTTGTCGGAACTGTCGATATCGGACCACTATAACATATAGCTGCCATACAAACTGAATCATAGAAATCTAGTGCTGGTATGAAAAACTTTTGCATTTGACAAGATATATTCACGAAATTTGGTATAGATTATTTGCTATGGCAACAATGTAATATCCGAAGAAATTGTTCAGATCGGTTAACTATAGCATATAGCTGCCATACAAACTGAATGATCGGAATCAAATACTTGCATGGCAAACTTCCGCATTTGACGATATGTCTTCACGAAATTTGACATTTATTACTGTTACTGTTGATAATATAAGCTCCGAAAAGAAAGATTTAGAATTACTAAAAGAAATGCTTCCGTGAAGGGTATATTAGCTTCGGTACAGCCGAAATTAACATTTTTTATTGTTTTTAAATTTTTTTTTGTATAAATAACTTTTATTTAAAAAATTTTTTTTCTTTTCTTTTACTGTGATAAGAATAAACAAGTAAGAAAGGGCTAAGTTCGCGTGCAACCAAACATTTTATGCTCTTGCAACTTGCAAGAATCAAAGCCAGGGAAAAAGTTTACGGTGTAAAACGGCAACCAGAGGTTCGGAGGCCAAGCAGTTATATATATATTCACATACTAATAAACTATTCCATGAGATTCATTAAAACCCCTCACCTCCCAAGTATTCATATGGACGTTTGCATATTTTGATATTACCTATATCACAGCGAACAACTTCTGAATATTTTATGAAGATTGGTTCAGCCGTTCTCGAGCCTTAGCGCTACTAACAAACAAACATTCAATTTGATTTATATTTATACAAAAGAAAACGTTTATATGGGAAAACGAAAATGGCTATTTTTAGGCGTTTTCCGGCCATTATTCGATTTTTTCTCGCCACAAGACCATCTCTGAATTTTAAAAAATATTTAGAAAAAAGAATTAGCCAAATTGTGGCCTGGCGTTGTTGAGTTATGCGCTTAGCAACACATTTTCGATTCTTTTTTATATTATAGACGCAACTTTCGTAATTTTTTCTTACATAAGAACCTTCTTCTAATAATAACAAATACAACAACAAAAAAAAGAATTAGTGAAAACGGTCCAGTCATTCACGTGTCATGCCGTGACCAAGGGAAAAATCGATTCATTTTTATATATAGATATATAATATATACTAAGGAAAATTTGGCATGCTTTTAGGCGTCGTTTTCAAAATGCTTAAGAGTACTGCTGTGTCAAGTGCTAGAAGCTTGTCGGTGCTGCGTTGTCGTTTTGTTGAAGTTTATAAAAGTCGCAACATTTGGACAATTCGGCAACAGTCGTGTCTTAGCGCTGCCAACGTTGGTGCATACAGTTATTATTACCGAATAGCGCGTTGTACTGAAGGAAACGGAAGTGCGCGTTTTTTTGTACGAACGTGCGCGTGTCCTTATGTACGTTAAATTTGAAATATTCAACAACAAAAAATACCGATAAGCATATCCTTTTTGAAGCCAACGAGAAAATAAACAAAATTGTGTCAAAATGCTGTCGAATTTCCGTTTCACAATTCGCAACTTTGCTGCTTTGCTGTGCCTTGTTGCGCATGTGCAGGCCACATACAAACTGCAAGAGCGTTACAGTTGGACCGAATTGGATTTTGCATTTCCTAGTCCTGGTTTGAAGCAACAGGCGCTCGCTACCGGCGATTATATACCACAGAATGCATTGCCTGTCGGCATGGAACACTGGGGCAATCGGTTGTTTGTGACCGTGCCGCGTTGGCGTGATGGTAGGTGCAAGCAAGCGTCATGTGCAAGATTTCAAAAGAATAATTTAAGTAATAAAGTGTGCTGAAATTTTTTTTAATATGAGGGCAATACTGTGATTTAGAAAAAAAAAGATTCTTTCAATATTTGTACCCTGATTGAACAGGTTAAATAAAGCTTCCCACGATATGTGTAACACACAAAAGAAAAAATGGGAGGTCCTATAATGCAATCAAAATTAAGTTCTTAAAATATGGGAGTTGGGCCACATACTAATAATCGATGACACGATTTCATCCATTTTAAGTGCAAAGATACACGGTTGTGAACAAAACACGCTTTCTCATTTGCGATGCTATATAAAGTCATGCCGAAGTCCGAAAAATGTCTATGTTAGGTATATAAGAGGAAGTATTGACCCGATTCAATCTATATTGGACATTCAGACCACCAATTATTATGTGAGACATCTCACACATTGATGGATATTATCAGTAAAAATTCAGCTATAAGCAGTGGTGTCCAGGGGTTAGATTTGGACAATTTTTAATCACAAGGTGGCACACTACAAAGGCACTATTCGCAAAAGGTTTTATTCAGCAACTTAAATTTTTTTTTTTGTTTGGTTAATGAAATTTGAAATAATCAGATGGAATAAAAAATTATGTTTTATGGGCGTGTTTCGACCATTTTCGTCCTAAACAAGGAAAATGTGAAAATAATCCTTGGTACATAGGATAAACGATAAACCTGCAATGTATTCCAATACATAGTGATACCACTGTTAACAGTGAAGCCCATGAACTAGCCATTGGCAGACCCCGAAAATTAGACGCCATAAAAAAAAAAAGGATTTATATGCCTCTGGCTAATTGTAGATATTTAAATAATTCACATTTTGGAAAATATTATTGGATTGCAGAGAAGTCAATTCCTTACTTGCTCAACAGTTGCCTGCACGGCATCAAAGAACTCTAGTAGGAGTGCTAACTGGTTACTGATTAATTTTCATATATGCTACCAGACTAACACAAATCATACAATTACTATTCTAGAAGCCGTCAAGTGGTAGAATAAAGAAATATCATAGAACATCATCTACGCGAACACAATGCTTTCGATATGAAAGGAATGCTCAAAGGTTCAGAAATTATCCTCCGACCTACGCTCCACGCACGCACATTTTTCAATTCCTTTATGCTTGACATTTTGTCATACAATATTTGTAGACTAGCCTTAAATGCTATTTAATCAACATAAGTTAAGCTGTCACGCGATACATGGATTATCCCCAGGCGAGTTGTCAGCCGCTCAGAGGAAAAGCTCGACAGGTAGCTGGCAAGCGGAACAACTGAGCTTGAATGTGTTGAACGAATTAGGCGCGTAGTAGCGACTAGCTATTAGTTGATGTTTGACAGGTACTGAAAACATGCAGGCATGCATTTTGACATAAGTGGTAAAAGTTTATTTTTTTTTGTTAAGCAAGCGCTAAGCAATTTGAATTTTAAAGTAAAGAGTGGCCACCGACGTAGCCTAGTACGTTGGCTAGATTTAAGTGGGTTTCCATTTATAATAGATAAAGCATAATTGCATTGAAAAAATGTGATTTGACAATTTTTTCATTAAATCTATAAAGCACCGGAAGCGGTTGGAAATGCGGCAGGAAAGTACACAAAACGGCGACTAGATTTTTTTTTCCTGAAGACTAGATAGATTGATAAATAAATTTTTTAGTGAGCAAGATCAAAAAATTCCTTTGAAAAAATTCGAAGTTACGAAAAAGAATAGTTAGAAGAAAAAAATATTTATTACGTAAATACCAATGGTAATTGGTACTACGTACTACGTTGTGGTCTACTACTAAATAGCTGGGCTTCACACAATCGATGCATGCGCTGTCGCAAAAACCCAAGATTGATCATAAGAGATCTAGTGATCCCTTGCCATATGCAGAAGCTGTATGGAATACTTCCTTCTTGACTAACTTGGGTTTGGCTGTCAAGACTCAAATGGCGGGAATAGAAATTAAACGCCTTTGCAAATTTGTATTGGCTCCTAAGCGTTTTGCTAATTTCTAATTTAAACACAGGAGTTCTTTCTATGGCTGCACAAAGACTAAATATAGCAGTCTACGTGTGATCTTTGATTAGCCATCTAACCGATTTAAATTAAGGAATTTCAGTTAACTTTTTTGAGTGGGCAGTATCAAAAAGAAATATGTCAAATGTGCCTTCTTTTGAGGTGAATATTTCAAATTCGATCCATGAGATTTTGTTGCGTTCCCTCTTGTGAAAAATATGCTCGACAAATCTCCTTTAATATCATTCTTTATTAATATGCTTTCAAATAGTTATGTTGTGTCAACACTAAATCAACCGAAATGCAAAAGGAGTAAAGTAGTAAAATGCTGAACCTAACATAGTATGTATAAATTTAGATTTAGCGAATAATTCAAATAAAACAGAATCGGAACAGCATTTTGTGCTAAGCCAGAAACAACTCAAAGCGCGATACTACCATAATAATCTGCACGAACCAGTCTACAACTCAAACTGCAATAATTTGTGATATATTATTTTTAATTTATTAAATTAAATTAACAAAAGGAGAAATTAAAATTTCTAAACAATATGCAAAGTAATACCTTACATCAACACCTAACCGAACATGATTTAACTGACACCATATTTTATTAATAATATTAATATGCACAAGCTGTCAAATAAATTAAACATATAACTTATGAATTGCCGTTAGACCGCAAATTGCCTGCTATTAAGTTATGATATACAAGTATTATATTAAAAATCAATAACGCAGCCCTGGCGGCGCCGCGTCAGGGGATTACACGGTGTGTGCGCTTGAGCACGCGTTTGTGTAATTTATTTAATTTAAAGAAACCGGTAGTTGCAACTAATATGTTAAACCAACACTCGACAACTTGTCAACAAATATATTCGCGAAAGATATTTTTTGTGCGAAAAAAATAGCTTTAAATTATTCAATTGAATTTAAAATATTTAAACACAACTGCGTTTTCTGCACAGTCAAGCTCAGGTTGGGGTGTGTATATATATTATGAACGTACATATACACAACGCCAGTTGACTAATGCAGCAATTAACGCCTGATCAAATTGAAACCAGTGAACTTGTGTATTTAAATAATTTAGATATAAGTTGCGGCTACTGCAAGATAACTTTTCTTTTAATTTTTTGTCGCGTAAATTAACATTTATCTTGACAAATTGGTCTTTTGACTTAGATTAATGTCAAGTGACAATTTGAAAGAATTTTAGCCGGTTCACACAGTGTTTCGAGAAATGTGGAAGCTTGGTGTGGAAGCGGACGTATTACTTTTGTATGAGAGACTACTTACATTAGAGTTGTAACTATCAAAGTATTAAGACCTTGCAAAGAAAACATCGCTTTCAAGCTTTAGTGAACATCAAAATATTTTATAAACCTGTTGAGAATTAGGGGAAGCTGAATGAAATAGCTAAGTGGGATTGGCTAAAATACCCACTAAATATATTAGCTAGAATGCTTTACACTCGTAAATATTAACTTGTATGAGCACTAACCCTTCAAGCGTCTGCTCCAAGCAATAACTGACTTGAAGAAAGTGTGGTCTAAGGAATTTAGGAAAATTATTTACTATTACTAGCTCGAATGGCAGAATGGAGACGAAATTAACTTGCAAAGATATCTCATATTAATGAGTTATTATGGAACGGAAAAATTTTTAATGCGAACAGTGAATTCTGTAGAGAAACTACTTAGAAATTATGAAAAAAAAAACTGGAAACTGTGGTTATGCTCAATCCGAGTGGCCCTGTCTCCCGAAAACCCAATATAAAATGACCGAAATTGGTAAATAATTGTATGGCCTTGTCGAAGTTGTTGTCATTTAAGCTCTAGCCAAGTCTAGAAGATTAAAATTCTACTTCCTGTAGCTGTATAAGAATATTGATTTGAATTAAATATATAAAGGACCTCCCCATACTCAGCTGTTATACAGGAAAGAAAACCATATTTCTTTAATAACAAAAAAAAAATTGCCTGATATTTCGAGATTTTTCGTTAAATTAACCACGTCCACGAAAATATAGGACAAAATTCAAGGCTTTAGTCAGTCATTCTCGCACTAATAATAAGAACTTGATGTAAGTTATTTCATATATGTGTATAGACAAATTTTAGAACAACTGAATTAGTAGCGGTGCTCACTGTTCATGGAAATCGGTGAATTTTTTATGACTAACAAAAACTAAGCAAGCATTAACAACCAGCAACTTATTTGTTTGCCTAACTGGCATTCAGACTACATATAAACTATGCTCACTTTTTTAATTATTTTCTTTAAATATTTCCAGGTATACCGGCTACATTGACTTACATCAACATGGATTATACACCGACGGGTTCTCCAGAGCTGATACCATACCCCGACTGGCGCAGCAACACAGCTGGCGATTGTGCGAACAGCATCACCACCGCGTACCGCATCAAAGCGGATGAGTGTGGTCGCCTGTGGGTGCTTGATGCCGGCACTTTGGGTCTCCTCAACACCACCACCTATCCCTGTCCATATGCCGTGAATGTCTTTGACTTGCGAACGAACAAGCGCATACGCCGCTATGAGCTACGTCCGGATGACATTAATGCGAATACGTTTATTGTCAATATTGCCGTTGATATTGGTAAATCATGTGATGATGCATTCGCCTACTTTACCGATGAACTGGGCTATGGTTTGATTGTATACTCGTGGGAGCAGAATAAATCGTGGCGTTTTTCGGGACACTCCTATTTCTTTCCCGATCCACTGCGTGGTGACTTCAACATAGGCGGCGTGAACTACCAATGGAGTAATGAGGGTGTCTTCGGCATGTCACTCTCACCCATACGTTCGGATGGTTATCGTACTATGTTCTTCACTCCACTGGCAAGTCATCGTCAGTTTGCGGTGTCGACACGTATTTTGCGCGATGAGCGTCGCGTTGAGGATAGCTTCCACGATTTCGTGGCGCTGGATGAACGTGGCCCCAACTCGCATACGACAGCACACGTTATGAGCGATGATGGTATTGAGCTATTCAATTTGATCGATCAGAATGCGGTCGGCTGTTGGCACTCTTCCATGCCATATCAGCCACAGTTTCATGGTATTGTTGATCGTGATGATGTTGGTTTGGTGTTTCCTGTCGATGTGAAGATCGATGAGAATAGGGATGTTTGGGTACTATCCAATCGTATGCCGATCTTTTTATTCTCCAAGCTGGACTACAACGATGTGAACTTCCGTATCTACACTGCACCTTTAAGTACTTTGATTGATAATACTGTCTGCGATATACGTAACAATGCTTATGGTCAGTCCCTCTTCCGTCAAGCCGATATGCCACATGTTGCGCCGTCAAGCCGCAATTACATAACACCAGTTGTGGGTACCGGTTATAGTGCAACCGATCCAGCCAAGGCTTATGTACTCAACAATGGTATGTCCTATGAGATCGGTAGTAGTGGTCCACATCTATTCCCACGACCTTCGGAGAGTTTGAAGAATTCTGTTACCACACGCAATTCCGACTGGTGGGCGCGGCACTGAGTTATTGTTGCGTGATTTATCTTGTCATCTGGCAATTCCAACCACGGATCCTTCTGCTCTCATAAACTAGTTCATCCAGTGCAATTTGTGTTATATTATTGTAAATAAATATTCATTTTTATTAATTTCGCATCCATACACGTGTATGTACAAATTTATTATGGTAATTTGTAGCCGTAAGAGTCAGTGTTGTAAAAATTAAGTTGATCGCCAACACCCTAGTGCGATACAGGAAAATAATGAGTATATCATAGGGCCCATGGAAGTACTCTCGGTCCGATCGAATCTAGCCAGCGTTGAAGGCGGATGGATTGTCAATTGGGGAATCTGTCTTCAGTTTGCTAGGCTGTGGGAGGAAGAGAGGGACGAAGGAGCAGCACGCGGCGCTGTTTAAGAACAGCCTGGAGAATAAAATTTGTATGACTGCTCCTAGTCCAGGAAGCGTGGCTAAGCAGTTATGAAATTTCTGAGGATAAAACGTCATAATCATAAATGATGGTGACGGTACTAGACTTTGAGCAGCCAGTGTCGAACAATACTTCTCCCGGGATAGCACCTCTCGAAGTGTCTGGGACGGACTGCGCACCCTTTCCAGGTCAAGGGAGCTTCTTAGCAAGTTTCACTTTTCAATGCTTATGAGAGTTTTAACTGGACAGTAAGATTGAAATATTGCTCAAAACTCTCAACAACTCGACGAATAGAACGAGTACAGGTGACGACTATTACGACCATAAAATGGCAAAAGCGCACGAAAAGTAACAATTGGAAAATGATTATTTTGGCAAAAATGAAACAATATTACAGATCATGACATATCAATGATTGATGCGGTTGGGAGTATTTGCACATTTCTGGGAGGTAATATATTTACTTCTGCATATGCATACCCAATTTGGTCATCTGGTAACCACATAATAAAGAAAAAGGTGCACAGGGAAACATAGAAATATTGCATACCTTTAGGCGCTGGTAACAGAGATGAAATGATTTAGAGATGTTTAATGAGTAACTTTTTTGCGTGCTTTTAGGCGTCGGTTTTATGAACAAATATTGGAGCTTAGCGATGAGCTCAAAATATATAAATATAAGAACAAGATAAGAAACTATAAAGTGAAAAAAGCAAATCATTAAGGTTTTTCAATCAATTTAGGTTCTGTCTCTTATACACATCTAGATGTGTATAAGAGACAGACGAAATACTAAACGTTAGTATGACGAGATTGAGAAGCTGGCCGACAGGGGTTATTCTAAAAATTAAAAGAAAAAATAAAAAATAAAAAAAAATACCTTGAGGTATATACAGTTTGATATACTTATCGAAATAGCATTAATCTAAGTATATCATATTTCGCTTTATTTTTCACTTTATATGAATATTTTTGACCCCATTTTCCTTTCACTTGCAATTTATTACACGCGTAACTGTCAAGTTTCACACTAAATTATGTGCAAATTGCTCGCTATCAGCCTTGCAACATCTACAAGCCGAAGCTGATAAAATCAAGCGCTGCCTGCCAAATTAATCAGCAATACAGACAACGAAAGTCGCGTAGGTAGGCGGCACAGCATGAGGGGGGTACTTTCCAAAAATCTGCAAGTTAACGATCACTTGCAACACGCTGCGTTGTTGGCGTTTATTTCGTGCATTTTCTTATTTGTTTTGGCTTTTCAATCAATATTTGCCACAACAACACACGCTTTATGATTTATATCAAAGTGGCAGGCGAAAAAGTTTACACGCCAAAGTGGGCGTAACTGCGTACGTACTTTCGTAAGACAAACAAAGGCGAAAGTTAAGCAGCATTTAGATCGAATGTGTGTATATGTGTGTGTGTGTGTGTCTGCGCTTATTAAGGTTCAAATTGTTTGCTTAACTGGCGCAAGCGTTCATTTTTAATGAACTGTTAAAAACAATAACAATAAGCAAAGAAATAAAAAGGCAAAAAGGCAAACGAGCAACGGCCTCTCGTCGGTTGCTGTAGCACGTCGCTGGCCGTCACTGCCCACTTCCACTGGAGCACTCCCCTACCGCCGCGTCGGCCGCAACCACAACACATAACACCTAATCAAGGAGATGCAAAATTTAACGCCACAAGTGGCGGAGGCAACACTTCAACGCCAGCGCGGTGGCAACAGTCAACAGGTAGAGAGTCAGCCGGCAGCCAACAGTAGCTGCAACAACAATCGCTATAATTTAAGCGCTGCACCAAAGAGCCAAAAAAGAAATATAAAATAAATAATGAAGCGAAAAACAAACAAATCAACCAAATTAACCGCAAACAATATTTTGGGCCAACCGGCCGCCAGCCGCCAGCCGAAAGTTACCTGCGCACACCCGCGGCCTGCCCTTCTAACCGCGCCGCGTACGCTTGACCGGCTGCTGGTGGTCAGCGGCTGCTTGAAATTTATTGCAACATATTTTAGCGCTGCGAAAATAACAGCAACAACAAAAAAATCACACAGCTCCTGGTAACTTGCTATTGCTAAAGTAAATACACGGCAAATTTGTTTGCACTGCAACGAGCCGCACGTACAACATTATGTAGGCATGTTTGTTGTAGGTAAACAAGAGGCATGCGCTAATTTGCGGTTGCCGAATGGCTCACATGCAAATCAAGCGCGTCTGCTGTGCTTAAATCAACTACAACTTAGCTTTGAAATATAAATAAACAGAAATTGAACGCCGCCGCCCTTTCGCTTTGGATTGCAGGAAATTATAGAGATTTTCACTTTTGTGGCTGAAAAGGATACGCCGTGCGGCTGCGTAGCGGTAAGAGCGATGAGTTTGTGCCGCAAAACTGGCACATTCTAATCTGATGTCTAGCTTAGCCCATCATTAGTGGTACGCAGCAATTTTAATTTTTTTTTTTTTTTTTGGTTTTATGGTTTATGCGTTCGCACCGATTGGTTGTTGACCCTTCTGAGCCGCCAAGCGCCCAACGCATTTGAATACAATAAATGTAAGCGCTACTACCTAACACTAGCGCTAAATTAGCTCCTTGCCACATTAGCGCCGCAAACGGATGCTGCGTAAGTCTGCAACGGCTTGGCTACGGCTCTGAGAAGCTTTATCCTGTCGCTAATCATTGTAGCTTTGCCGTTGCTAGTCCGTTTATGGCTGTAAAGTGGCCAATTTGCTGCGTGTTGATTTGTTGTTGGTTTTGTATTAAGATTTCAACTGCCAAAAGTGACAACGAAATTAAGGCAAGTGTTGATAGACTGTGCGCTGAAAGTTTGTTGCAGACGAAACGAAAGACTTAAGAAACGAACTTCTTTGTGGTGTATAATAAAATGTTGTTTGTTTGCGCTTGTTGTTGTAAAATAACAACTAATTGCAGAAAATTGAATAAATCGTTGACGTTAAGATTCACAAAACTATTATTTTTATTTATTTTTCTTTTTTTCTTATGATTTTGTTGCCACATGTTTTTTTGTTTTCAAACCACAAGATCCTTTGATTGATATCTCAAAAACTGAGAGACTATTTCGCGTGTACATAGACGGATAGACAGCGGAACATGTCTAAATCGATATCGAGTTCGTCATCCTTTAAATATGTATATATTGTATATTTTTATGAACATTTTACTCATGATAAGACATGCATTAGTAATAATTTGCAAGGGCTCGCTGAAGTCTAATGGCTGTTAATGTCTGTTAACCAAAGGTGAGGTTACTAAGGAGCGTCGATCTAGAAGCAAGTTCCTCACTATAAAAATTCGTACAAAACTTTATGCTACTCGCCATCGTGATCATATACGACATTTGACAGCCGCCTAATACAATAGAATTTACCGGTATTGAAAAATAAAAACAGCTACATAAGAAAAACCACACTGCAAACTTATTAAGGCCTTATGGCCAGGTTCCTTCAAACAATTTTGAAAAAATCGAAATTTTTTTTTCATAAATTGCTACTGTATACTCGTAGAAATAGTATAGAATTAGTCTCGAAGGTCAGCAAGCCCGAGAAGCAGGTATAAAAGCGTGAGGAACGCTACGGAAAACCCAGCCGCTCGAACGCATTCGGTAGCGTGCCTTTGATTTAAACTGATTTTTCTCCGAACCACGTTTTTTCGCATGGATGACACTCTAATTTCAAAACTATTGCACTTGTTAATATGAACCTAATGGCATTTTACTCTTTAGATGTCTGGCTATCGCCTCAAGCAGAACCAGAAATATTCATTATTATTTAAAAAAGTTATAAACAATTGAAGGTGAAAAAAAGGGTTAATTCAAAAGTCCGCCAGTTTGTTTTTTTCATTGAAAATGTTTCATTCTGGTTGAGGCTATAGCTAATTCGATACAGAACATGAAACCGTTTTGTTTTTTGCTTTCAAATCATTCTCTGCCAAGAAATGATGTCATCCATCTACGAATCGGATGAGTTTCAGCAGCCATTTTCAGGACCGCCAGTTTGAAAAAAAAAAAATGTTTTAAGTAATTTAATATATGCACTTTCATATGTAAAACATTGATTACTCAACATGTTTTGTAATAAAAATAAAATGTATTGAAAAAAATTACGATTTTTAGAGGAACCTGGGCTTATTAAGACCATTTGTTTTCTACGAAAAGATGCTGCGACTACAGCAAGATTTTGAAACTGGAACATACTATTGTATGACCCAAAGAGGTGATCTGTTCGCTGATGACCAGAGCATACTGAATTTATGAAAGAAACAATTTTGCAGTCAGCAGAATGGCAGTGAAAGTGTGACATCAGGATTCCCAATGCGATGACGATAAAATAGATGTTCATAGATGTGATTGGCCAACTATGAAGAGGTTCGAATATCAATCAGTTGATTACCGCAAGCTATTCAAATATGGCGGCGAGGAACTGAGAAGGCGCATGCATTAGCTACCTAACAGGATAATACATTACCGTGTGATAAGCCTGCTTACTATCCAACAGAAGGATCGAGCGGAGTGTATGAAAGACTAAAACCTGCCATCAACAAACTGAGTGGACCAGACTAGGAAAATCTACTATTTACCAGATATTAACCATGCGTTAAGTCTTGGAAAAGACCCGTGAAAAAACCGGCACACACAACCCTTAGTCGATTTTAACACATTCAACGGCACGAAAAGGAGCTGATTCTATGCCTGACGTTGA